ACTTCAATTTTCTTTGTCTCATGAAATCTAAGTACCTCAATTATCAACTTAAGGTCTAAGTCTGGTGGAGTCCAGACAGAGTATACAGACTCCAGATAGACTCCACCTGGATGATCCAGAAATATAGACATTTGGTTGTATGATAGTTGGACTCCAGATGGACTCTGGATATCCAGCTGGAGTCTGCCAGAGTCCATCTGGAGTCCAACTGGACTATGTGGGGGAGTGTAAAGTACACGGGTGTAGGGAAGATGTTGAAGGGAAGACCTAGGGGGGAGGGAGGGAAGAGGGGGGGATGGAGGAAGGGATGGAGGCAGGCAGGCAGGGAGAAAAGAGGGATGGGAGTAGGGAAGAGGGATGGGAGGAGGGAAGAGGGGTGGAGGAGGGAGGGAAGAGGGAGGGAGAGAGGGAGGGAAAGAAGAGGGAGTGAGGGAAAAGGGAGAGAGGGAAAAGGGAGAGAGAGGGAGGGAGGGAAGAGGGAGAGAGAGAGGTAGGGGGGGATGGAAGAGGGAGGGAAGAGGGAGAGAGAGAGGGAGGGAGGGATGTGGAAGGGAAAAAGGAGGGAGAGAGGGAGGGAGGGAGGCGGGGAAGAGGGATGGGGAGAGGGAAAAGAGGGAGGGAGTGAGGGAAAAGAGATGGGGGATGGGGAAAGGGGAAAGGGAGTGAGGGAGGGGGGAGGGTGTGGTGTGCGCCGTTCATGTGTGGTGCTTGTGGGCGCTCGTCGCCATTCATGGTGGTGGGTGCTCAGCTTGTAGTTGTTGTCATTGTCATTGTTGTCTGTTGTCGTTGCCCATTGTCGTTGTCATTGTCTGTTGTCGTTGCCTGTTGTCGTTGTCTGTCGTCATTGTTGGTTGTCGTTGTCTGTCATTGTCGTTTGTTGCCGTTGTTTGTTGCCATTGTGCAGCATTGTCGTCTTTCATCGTCGTTCGGCATTGTCGTCCATCCTCGTTGTTCGTCGTAATTGTCGTCGTTGGGTCCTGCATTGTTTTGTATGCGTGTGGTGTTGTGTCATTTCACAATGTGAGGGTGGCTGCCCATTGGCTTCCCTTTGGGGGAGTGCTGATGTGGGGTGTGCTTACCGCCAGAGCTGCTCTCCACGCGGGAATCACAGTAGCAGGTGATGTGTCGTAAACTTCACAAGCTAGAACGTCTTCGCCATCGAATTGAAGTCCAGCGTAGCTAGTCATATGGGGTGGTAAGTCTCGAGGAAAATCTCGCGCTTTACCTTTCGTTTGATTCGAAGTGTTTCTTTGATCTCAAAGAACTTTGGCTACGCCGCCTTCGCTTCCATAAGCTCGTGGAAGCTCTGATCCGTCAGGACGAGCCAATCTTCCCTGTGGGGTGTAAGCAGCCAAACCCTCATTTATACATACCTTTACTTCTGGGCAGTTATGTAGCCCTAAACGATGATCTGTCTGATCGCAAAAGAAACATCTTACTTCTCTAAGGATTTGTTGGGAAGACTGATTAGCTTTCAGAGTTATATTGACTGAGCGTAAAAACTCAGTGTGCGTGAGTCTCAAGTTCTCCATTTGCTTTGTACTTTTGTCAACCGGACTTATCCCAACAGGCTCCACGATTGGTGCAGCGGGAACAGTTTTCTCAAAAGTCGCTTTCTTTTTGGAAGACTTCTTCTTCTTCTTGATGATCGTAACCTTGTCGATATCTTCATCTGAATCGCTCGAGGAAGATTCTGAGTCGGAGTCGGATTCGAGATCGAGGCTTGAAGTGTCAACTTTCACATCCAAATCTTCGTCGTCAAATTCCGCGCGAAGCAATTCCAAAAGTTTTGATACTACCGGGGGCGAACTAATCTTGAGATTTTTGGAAGGGATGCGTTTCTTGATTTTCATGCGCAAGGCGGTGGGAATTCCCCTATAAAAACACAAAGAGACATCATTAACTAGCATTCGGGCAGGGGTTAAGTTTGAAGACAAAGCAGTAAATTCGCGGTAATACTTATCAACCTCTTTTCGGGATGTGATAAAGCCCGTTTCTCCATGCTTCAAACACCATTGTTGTAACCGATCGGGGGAATTTGCCGGAACCTCGTCATTCGATCCATAGAGGTCCAGAAGATAAGTTCTAGCTTGGATCCAGTTGTCTCCTGACAAAAGCGCCAAACCACTAATGACCTTGCAAACTTTAGTATGACAATAACGAAGAATATAAGGAGGAAGGTGGTTATGATCGATTCTCGCACTATCCGCATGCTGTTCCAACAAATCCAAGAAATCCTCCATGCGCTTCCCTTTAAACAAAGGAGCGGAAGGAGTTCCCGGCGTTGGCATGGGTACGCTGAGTGTGGCAAGGCTGACAATGCTAGACTCTGAAGAAGAAGGAGGACTCATAATGAAAGTTTGTAACAACGAAAGGACTTAGCGGATAAGAAGCGTACTCGCGCTTGTACGAATACAAGTGATTATATGCGCCTAAAAACCAAAGATTCAGCTTTAAATGAGGGAGAAAGACGTACCACGAATTTCCTCAATGAGTTTTTGCAGTTGCAAAACGGAAAACCAAACCCCCTGTCTCGGTCACCACTGTGGAAGCGAATCGTTCCTCCAGATGGAAGCTAAGAGTTCCTAAAAAAGGACAGGTGATCTGGTCGTTTGCTGAGAAATGAAGTAAAGTAAAGCCAAACAAAGAAAAAAAAGAGAAACACGTCAAAGGAATTCTACGTATGTAGAGGGTTCAGAGAAGAGGATGTCGAATGGACAAGGGGACATCAAAGAGGGACAATGCGCAGATAAGCGCTCGAAAGGGACTTTCGATGGCGGAGAACGTGGCATGAGAGGATTCCGGTAAAAGAAAGGCAACTCAGCTGAACACGTGTTTGGGACGTGTCGAATCAAAACACTTGTAATTACTTGATACGCCTCGAACGTATAACTTAGAGAACTTGAAGATGACTTGTAGAAATGTCGTGTAAACTTTTGAATTTCTTGAGGAGACGAGTGGACGACTTAAGAATCCGACTATGAAAGAGGGGGAAAGAAGACGACTCCATTCGACAGGTGGGAGGACACCTTATAAACAGTACAAAGATAGAAAATCACAAGGCAACGCACGTACTCTCATGCTGCCAGACCAATTCTTTGGGGAAGAACGTCAAAATGTTCGAAGAGGAACAAAAAAAAGTACAAAAATAGAAGTGACATCACCCACTCGATTCCTAGGCAAAACCTTCGAACCAGGCATGACTCGGGGAACATACGACACTTGGAGAGGTCTATTTACGTGCGCAACTGCCGCCTTCAGTGTGGACATCCCAAGCGTCGATGCTCTACCCTACCGTCTGGCCCTCAGATTGAGCTTCGGGTCGGTGAGATCTGTCATAAGTACAAAGAAATAAAAGCGGAAGGGAGTAGTGATCAATTCAAAATAAAAACGTACAAAAAATAATGCAAGCGTCCGAGTCCGAATCCTTCACGAGAGGTGCGGCGCGAACAAAGCCAAATGATGATGTCATACGTCTTGTCAAATCAAAGTCTCCCTAATACTCGTTCAGTTTCAAACCCGGCGAAGGTTCGTAAAATAAAATAAAACTGATAAAAATGTACGTAGGGAGAAAAATGAAATATGGAGTGCGTCATGAATGAAACAAGTCGCACTTCCACACCGCCAGTGAGCGGTCGACGGTGGTGGTGTCGTGTTAGTTGGGTGGGTGGTAATAGAGGTGGTGGGGTATACATACCATATACAATATGAAAGGACGACAACGACATTAGTCGTCGTCGTCATCCCATCACCATTGATCCATCATGGTCATGAGTGCTCATTGTCATATGTTGATGATGGTGGTGGAGGGTGTTCACAGTGGGTGGGTGGGTGCTTGTTGCCGTTTCTTGACAGCGGTGATGGGTGTTCATTGACGGGGTGCTCGGCCCTCATTTCCGTTCAAGGATGGTGGGCAGTGGTTGTGGGCGCTCACAAAGTGGTGGGTGAGTCCCAGTGAAAGTCTACTCCGCTGCTGGCCACAAATATCTGCTAAATATCTGAGATGGTCCGTGGCGCCGAAATTCACTGACCAGCTGGGATTTTGTCCCTTTTGCGGATTTTTTTCTGCAATTGTCTGCTCTTTTCTAACGAACAACAGCGTGAAATGCGGAAATTTCGGCGGCTTCCCCTTCTAGTCCGGTCTCATCTGCATTTCTCCGTCCACATTTGTAGGCATAAAATCTTTCAAATTGCTTCATAAAATACGCGATCTTCTGTGAATATCCACTATATACCCAAGAGCTCCCCAACATCTACCCCTAAGACAGAACCTCAACTAATCACCCTCTCACATCCATTTCCAACCATCTGCTTGTGCGTACGTCTGAGAGACACGTGTATCGATGTCGGGGGGCGGCATTGTAGAGGGGGGATTCAAGAGAAATTCCAAGTCGCTTTTTCGTCCATCAAACTCGCGAAATCGGGTGGACAACAAACGCACTCACCACCTATAAGCTCGTCCTCGATCATATAATACACTGCAGAAGACGCATATATGCGCCGAAAATGGTCAGTTAGACGTCATACGAGGAGAGGAAGTTACTTGCCGAAGTATTAGAGACATGACACGCTTCCTTGTACCCGGTGAGACTAGGGTCACTCAAACTCTGATAACGATGCTCACAGCCTGTACGTTGACGATTCCGTATGAAGAAGATGTTCGTGTGTGTTGACGAGAGGAATGGGCGGAATAGTGCGAAGTGTGAGGAGACGGGTTGGGGGAGTTGGTGGGGGGGCGGGAAGAAAGAAGGAATGAAAGCAATTTGGTAGAGCTCTGAGATATATAATTCGCCTCCAGTCAGTAGAATTTGGGGAAAGAAGTTCAAGGCGCCGAGTTCAAAATCATGTCGTCGTGAAGGGTCGAACGAGAAGACAGGTCAATTTGCAGAAACTTGGCGGCCCGCAGCGGATCATCGCCGATTTTTGTCTTTTGCAGCCGATTCCCACAGAGGCTTGCAGAGCCGGTTTTCACTGGGGGTGAGTGCTCATTGTCGGTTGGTGATCGTGGTGGATGGGCGCCACAAGCTGGTGGATGGGCGCTGGTGGCCAGTTGTCAACGTGTTGTGCTGGGCCCTTGTCGCCGTTCATTGTTAGTCGTGGTGGTTGTTGGGTGCAAGATGGAACATCACAAAGTGTGATGTTCGTGTCCATGCTCAAACGACAAACACACACATTTGTAACTTGTAGTGTCTATTACAAATTTGTAGTGTGCCCTGTTTTTCTATTACAATAGTTTGTATTGCCCATTGACATTTGTAGTGTCCCCTACAAAACTTGTAGTCTCATATTTGGCCAGTACTTTACCATCCCCCACATAATCCACATGGACTCCACTGGATTCCACTGGACTTCACTACATACTGGCAATATCCACAAATCTGGACTCCACTGGACTCCCAGCACAAAACTGGACTCCACTGGACCAGACTGGACTCCACTGGACTCTCCCAACACAACTGGACTGGACTGGACTGCCACAGACCTAAGTTAATCCAGAATTCCTCTTCAAAACAAAAAATAAAATTGAAGTATATTCATTAATTAAATTAATTAAATTTACATAGATTCTATGTTACAGAGGGGGGAGGGAGGGGGAAGGGAAAGGGAAAGGGAGGGGAAAGGGAAAGGGAGGGGGAAGAGAGGAATGAATAGAGTGGGGAGGGAGCAAGGAAGGGGGAAGGAAAGGGAGGGGGGGAGAGAGGAGCAAGGAAAGGGGGACGGGGAAAGGGGGAGGGGGGAAAGGGGGAGAGACTGAAGGGGGGAGAGTGTGAAGGGGGGAGGGAGTGGAGGGGAGTGGGAGTGGTGAAGAGAGGAGGTAGTGATGGGGGGAGAGAGTGGAGGGGAAGGGTGATGCTGCTGGGCCCTCGTCGCCGTTCAGCGCTGGCGGGCGCTTGGTATTTTTTGTCGCGTATCGTTGTTCGTTGTCGCGCGTCGTCGTCGTCGTCGTCGTGTGTCGTCGTTGTAGTTGTC